AATTATAAATCAAATTATTCGCTAAGATCAAAACTTTATTTAAAACTTAAAAATAACAGTTATTTAATATTGAAAGGTGCGTCCAAACCATCAATAAATATTTCACAAATATTCCATTTAGCTTCAATTTTCATTGCAGGATGTGTTTGATTAAGTAGATAATCATTGATATCCACTTCTAGATCATAATTCAAATCGGCATCTGCATCTCTTTGCACTTTTTCTTCTTGATCAAGTAATTCTTCCCACTCATCAACAAAACCATTAAAATTTTCAACATATTCGTTTAAGTCCTCATCATTCTTTAATCCTTTCAATTCTTCACAATCTTTTTTATTAGATGGTTGTTCTTCAATATCAGAAGAGAGTTCTTCAATATCAGAAGAGAGTTCGGCTTCGGATTCTTCTTCAGAATTACATAACTCCTTATCATCCAACTGATGTTGATAAGTAATAGAGGCCTGAAGCTTACTCATATTTAATGCTTTTTTATATTATATAATAAATATAGCAATTAATCCAAAATTATTTGATAAATACACAATTATACTATACTTACATGCAATCGGCATCGTCGATTCGTATGAAGAAAACCCATACATGACTATAAAGGTTCTACTAAAGCTGCATTTATGCAAATTCCAAATATTTTTTGTGCTACAAATGCAAGCTCTTTTGTAGTCAGTGTAGCCCAGGACCAAAACTCAAAAACACCATCTTTGAAATGATTAATTGACTGATCATCAAAAGGAAAAGCGCCCCTTCGAAAATTTTCATACTCACGTAAAATCGATTGAGACTTATTATATGACCAAGCTTCATAGTAATATATAAGCCATTTACTAAGATATATATGATTAAGGTTAGCTACGTTAGACTTAAATTTTTTCATTTGGTAATTTAAATGAAGAAGCCAAGACAAGAGAAAAAGCGGTTGTTCCTATTCTCTCCATCTTGATTCTAATCTATTTAATATTTGTTGGCCAAATTCCAAATCTTCATATCTTTTCCAAAATTCCACGAAATAACCAAATCTGTGTAAGACCTCATGCAAACGTGCCTTGTCTTTTTGAAAAAGATCGATAATAATACCGTAAGGCGTTAAAATGTTAGCAAGTTTTTGTAATACGTGCCACCAACTTTCATCTAAAAGAATTGATGTAATATTTTCTGGAAGATATAAAGAATCATCATCTAACGGTTCAAGAGGGTCAAACTTAGAAGCGAGTGTCTAATATAAAAAAAGAATCATTTAAGTATATATTAAATAACAGTATAAAATCAAATACTGTACGATTTTTTTATACCCTTAATGCAGACTTTGACTTAAGTAATGAACGAAAACATTCCAAATAACTGTTCCACCGTGTATCATTACCAACCACTAATGAAATATATTTCTTATAAAATTCATTTTGTAAATCTCTTAATTTACCAATAAAATACTTATGTTGTGCTGAGTGAAAATAAACTGCCACTTTAATTGCATTGGCTGCTGTTTGACGAAACTCAATAAATTCTTTAAAAATTTCACCCACAAATAAATTCATTTGATGGGCGTAACATGGCAAAAAGAAATATCAATATATTTTAATCAAAGACGACACCTATATTTATTAAAAAGTTAATTATTTTAAAAAAAATATTAATGTAAGTACTATATGATTTTATTATGTACCTTGCAGCAGCATAAAAAGATGCACTATCACAAACGACTGCAATTAGCTTTACTCCCATTTGAATAATTTCACTAAACATTAATTCGATTTTTTCTATAACTTCTCTCCACCTTTCTCTTTCACCACTAATATCCATTCCCTTTCAGACTAATACTTCTCCTTCAGGTGTAATAAAAACTGCACCCATTATATTTTGGTTAATTACGTTGGTCCAACCATCAAAGGCAAGCGTTGGTCCAACTGAATTATTTTTAAGCTTTATCACTATGTTATCTTCAAGTCTCTTTACTTCTTTATTTAAAATTCTTCCATCTAAGGTTCGACGTTCAGGTAATTTTAAAGTAGGATTCAAAAATTCAAATAGTTCCCAAACTTCTTTATTTTGCACCCATCATAATGAAAACCCTGCGGAGACTGTTGCACGAACCAAGAGAGTTTCTAGTTTCTTTTTGTCATTCTTTGATAAAGGCCGAATAACAAATTTGTCTA